CCCCCAAAGATCAGGATGCCCTCCTGAGGGTCACAAGGCTTCACGTCGGCGTCGCCGTCTTTGATTCGGCGAATGATTCCTGTCTCCTCGTCAATAGGGAGCTGCAACGCTAGAGCGGTGGCGCAGCATCGGGCTGTAAGAACTCGCAATGTCGGAGAGTTATCCGGACTACCGCCTTCCGTCGTTATTGATGCCCACGTGTTGGATGCTAGATCCAGGACGTGGATGCCCGTATTCATTGCTGCGCTGAGAGGGTCGGAGGTCTGTCTGCCTCCTAAACTGCGACCTTGTCACCTTCTCCAATCGCTACAGCATTGTGAAACGCCAAAGGCAGCGGACTGTTACCGGTGGGCTGCAGTAACATAACGACAAACAGCAGGGTAGTGAACGCATGGAGAGAAATATATTCACTAACCGAAAGCTGTATCCATCGAGGCTTCTGTCCTGCAGTATTCACAGTGAGTAGCCAGATATCCGCCAAGACTGCACCTTGATAGTTCTTCCCTCCGAGAACGAGTACGCATTGAGTATGCGGGCTTTCGGGATCACTCGGGGTCTCCCTATAGCGCACTGGGGCACTCGCATGCCATGCTCGGCCGCAAGGAGCGGGGTCTGGAGGGACATTGGGATCGGTGCCATCGCCGTTGATGGGAGAAACATCGGTGCAGTAGAGGACGTTGTTCTCGTAGCCGAGCTCGAACACATCTCCTATCAATTGTTGGTGCGATGGCTCGAAGCTGTCGATCGGCTCGTAACCATAAGCGTAGGCATTCTCGCCCAGTGTCACCACGGTGTGCCCAATACTGTGAGCAAGCTCATCGTGAACATCGTAGCTAGTCAACCATTTCGTAGTTTTCAAGTCAAATAGATCGAGGCACACACTCGTGAAGCTCTCGTTCGGCAGCTCTTCTTTGCCTCCGACTATCACCGCGCTGGTGGTAAGTACAAGGCAGGAGACGTTAGTGTCGAAGAGTTTTGCACTAAGAGAGATCGACGCACATGTGGCCATTTAGCGTCCCCGGAAAAAAAAAACTTTTTTTTCATTCTCTCACCGGCTACTTTCCATTTAGTGGAGATGCATTACATTCTCGACAGCTACATTGCATTTCTGATGGATTTATTTCATTCTGTACATTCGAAATGGCTGTTACATGCCTTGTATATAGTATTTGGCGTGGCTGGACACGGAATATCTTACAGGGCCGTGGGACCTGGGGTTCTATACGGCCAGCGATGTTCCAGGATTTGTTCCGAACCAGAATCCGATTGAATCGCACCACCACAGCATCAAGGCTACTGCAGTGAATCAGCTGCGGGCTTCAACGGGGCATGTGCTTGCGTCGACTCTATCGAAAATCTGGTCGAGTGCGCGATGGAAATCGGGTCGGAGCCTATCCAGCACTTTGCCGCTGGACCAGTTTCCGCAGAGGTTCTAGAAGCTGGTGTACTCCTCTGCAACGACGACAACCACTTCCCGACTCACAAACGCAAGTCGTGCAGAGCAATCCGCAACATCCAGGCGTATTACTTTAACCAGAGATACTACATCGTCCGGGACGACAATGTGCATGGATTGAAGGTGAACGCAAGTCGAACAAAGACCTATAAGAGCTCGCTCAGCGGATCCCTCAAGGATTATGAAATTGTGGAGAATGTGTAGCTTCGATACCTCTCCGCACAAGGTGACGGTGTTGGATCGACTTCCGTATGAGCACGACTGGAACTCTCCGTTGTGGTCACTGGAGGAGATCAACACCATCAGAAAAAAGTTCAAGTGTGACTGCAAAGATTTCTACCGGACGGGGTGGCTGTGTGCTCATGTACTAGCATGCCTTCACCTCATTGACAATCTTGATTTGACGGTCATGCTTCGAGGGCTCCCAGCTCGCAGGCCTCCCGGTAGACCGCGCAAGAAAAGCAAATGCCTCCAGCGAGATGGTGTGAGAACATCCCAATACTCCGTCGATGCCATGGTGAAACGACTTGTGGACAAGCCAGCAAGTGTTATCAACTGGAGCGTGCAAATCGAAAAGACAGTGGCCGAGGCGGATGGCGAGGGGTCCCAGCGGACCTATGTTGACAAGATTAGCCCCCCTTCACTCGTGGAGGAAAGCGGTTCTGGGAGATCGCGTACGAGGATCAAGATGAGGTGACTGTCCTGGAAGTTGAAGCTCTTGCAAGGACGATCAATTTCTCCTTCCAAAAGGGGCACAACATTGTTTCCAGCTTATGCATATCTTCGACACAACAGCGGTAGCGTGAAGCTTCAGCAGAATAGCAAGTGGACGACATAAGGCTAGACGTAGTGAGCACTTCGGGTGCTACGAACTAGGGACCGAGTAACCCGGACATTTGTTTTACATTTTTCAATAGATGCAAGTGAATGCAATAACACCATCGAAATGAAAACTAGCCAATAATAAATGAAAAGCAGACTTTTTGCCCATAAATGGAAAGTAGCCGCTGAAAGAATGAGAACAAAAAACGCACCCAGAGTCCCCGCGACAAGCTGTAAATCTCTTGTGGCTCCAGGTTCTTCCTCTCTAGCGACCGGGACACGTGAGTTCCCCACGGGCAGTAGTCATACGACTGGCAATAAGGCAAACGTTACAACATTCGACATCAGCACTAAGCCATGTGAACCATTGCATAGCAGAACAGCCCGCACCTCAAGCCACCTCAAGTCTTGTCCGTCCAGCGCCATCCTGTGGCGACTCCTTAGATTTAGGCAGCTAAAGAGCCGCTATGAGCGAGTTCTCGGAAGGTCGGCAACTAAAGCAAGCTGTTCAACAACAACAATGCGGAGGGATCTCTTTTTAAGAGATTAATATAATCGCACGCGTAGGAAGCTGGGCAAAACTAAGGTCGGCCTAGATGCCTTATTCATGACAACGCTACAATCTCGTTTCTCTAAGCTCAGTAAAAGACCAAAGTTTTGTTCGAGAGGGACTGTCGGACTCGGGCCATGCTCAAGTTGGGCAGCTCAACTCGTGTTTCTTTTCTCGGAAATGTAATCGAAATGTTCGGCGACGTTCAATTTTACAAGGACGTCCCCAACAGGACAAGAACAACCCCATAATTCTCACCACCGAGGTCGCCCTTGTGGCAAGTGCTCGTCAAGACGAGACGTTGAAGCGTATACATGATGCAAATTCTCTCAGCCTAAGGGCTGAGGGTAGCTTCAGCTTGAGGATGTTTTTCGGATATTTGTGAAATCTGGACGGAAAATGTGTACATTGTTTCTAAATAAATACGTAGACTGC